TATGTGTCTATGTGGTGTTATTAATACGCTTTAAGACACACCATGTGTAAGTTCATAAGTCGACAGCATTGCTGAGTATTTCCTCCTTAAAACTGCAGTGAACCAAAGACAGTCTCAAAAACACGGTTTGAAATCGCTGGTGTTTCTGACGTCACAAACGACCTTGTAACCAATCAGATCAACGTGTGATCGTCAACCAGTGGATCTCTGAGCTGAGGGAGTGAGTGGAGGCGGGGCTCATTTGCATATTCATATAACCGCGCATACTAAATGAGGCAAGGGTGTCGAGTTACACTCAAGATATTTAAAGTAGTGCTGTCAAACGATTAAAATATTTAATCGCGATTAATCACACATTTTTATCTATTCTAAATGTCTCTTGATTTCTTTTTGTCCCATTATTTTTCTCATTTTAATGCTCTTATCAACATGGAAAAGTGGATCGGCTTGCTTTGTGCAAATGTTTTTTATTGAAACCAACACTGGCATATACTGTGTTCAATTTCACACTAACATTCTCACTTGGAGCAAATAATCTCTCACACAATGTAACACTGTCCATCAATAAAAGGGTGAAAGAAATACTGACGAGGTCCTGATATTGACGAGGGGGCGGAGAATTCGCATCAGCTGTGTGTGTGTGTGTGTGTGTGTGTGTGTGCGCGCGTGCGTGTGTGGGTGTGTGTGTGTGTGTGCTTGGCCATCAAGTGGTGTTTCAAAATAATTAAATTCCTCTACTTTATTTTAATTATACATGTATACCTCCTTTCCATTGTTTTTTTTCTTTCTTTCTTTTTCTTGTTTCTAATATGTGATTCGAATGTTCTTTAATTTCATTGATATGAATGTTATCTTTAATGCTCTTCATATCTTATGATGATTTGTAATAATTTAGAACAGTATATGTGAAACATTTATATCTACTGTATTATGTCATATCATTTTGAAAAAAAAAAGAAAAGTGGTGTTTCAGACTGGACGAGCTGTGATGATGATAGCTCAGTTCACAACAACAAAACACACAGATCACTTTGGTCTCGTCAATGGGACCGTTTGGCAACTTTTTCAAAGTAAACTTTCCATTCAGAATCTTATTGGCATCCATTTCTCGTCATCCACTCAAAACGTAACGTTAACCTACTATTTGGCCGCTCGCAAGCCCAAACGAGTGTGTGCGGCGTGCCTGTTGTTTTGTTTCCGGTCTAGCTAGATCCGCTTGCGCTTTGGTCGACGAACCAACAAAACGTCCTCGCGCGGCGCAAGCCATTGAAATGAACGGGTTTCATCATAGCGCAGCGCCCTGTTGCAAAAAGCATGTGAAAAAAAAACTACAAAGTTTGCTAGGCCAAAAAGACCGTTAATCGCACGATAAAAAAATTAACGCCGTTAAAATGGGTTTGCGTTAACGCCGTTAATAACGTGTTTAACTGACAGCCCTAATTTAAAGGCATTAAGAATCAAGGAAAAACCATTTAAATATGTTGGTGATCAAAGATGAGTGTAAGGGATGAAGCGAGTCTTCAGTGCGTCTCACCCGAGCTCTACGATGGGAGGCTTGTCGTGTCCTCTCCGGTAGCACAGGAACATGTGTGTGTTGTTCATCAGTCCCGCGCTCAGCTCCGCCGGATGGCCTGCTTGTGTTTTCTCGATGCATGTGAAGCCCTCGGGGACGTCCTCTCCGAGGCCGCGGGCGATCACAGCGAGATCCGTGACGGGTTGCAGAGCGCGAATGCCCCTCTGATGAGCCTCCTCGACCCGCGGGGAAGAGTCGCTCGCCAGACCCGCCACCACGAAGTAATCCACCAGCTGCGGGCATCGCTCCTCCGCCATCACGCCGCTCTAAACACCACTGCACACACACACACACACACACACACACACACACACAGTCCGTTACAGCGCAGGGCTAATCAATGGAGAATCATCATTTAAGAATACACTGCAAAAAATGCTTTTCTTACTTAGTATTTTTGTCTTGTTTCCAGTCCAAATATCTAAATATTCTTAAATTAAGATGCATTTACTAGAGGAGTAAAATGCCACAAGATATTATGTCTTGTTTTCCGGGCAAATAAATCAAAATTAAATAAGTTGTTGCTTACTCACACGCACACACACACAAACACACACTAACCCGACCCCTAAACCTACCCAATCACACACACACACACACACACACACACACACACACACACACACACACACACACACACTAACCCGACCCCTAAACCTACCCAATCACACACACACACACACACACACACACACACACACACACACACACTAACCCGACCCCTAAACCTACCCAATCACACACACACACACACACACACACACACACACACACACACTAACCCGACCCCTAAACCTACCCAATCACACACACACACACACACACACACACACACACTAACCCGACCCCTAAACCTACCCAATCACACACACACACACACACACACACACACTAACCCGACCCCTAAACCTACCCAATCACACACACACACACACACACACACACTAACCAGACCCCTAAACCGACCCAATCACACACACACACACACACTAACCCGACCCCTAAACCTACCCAATCACACACACACACACACACACACACACACACACACAAACCCGACCCCTAAACCTACCCAATCACACACACACACACACACACACACACTAACCCGACCCCTAAACCGACCCAATCACACACACACACACACACTAACCCGACCCCTAAACCTACCCAATCACACACACACACACACACACACACACACACACACACACACACACACACACACACACACAAACCCGACCCCTAAACCTACCCATCACACACACACACACACACACACACACACACACACACACACACACACACACACACACACACACACACACACACTCACCCGACCCATAAACCTACCCATCACTCACACACACACACACACCAATCCGACCCCTAAACCTACCCATCACACACACACACACACACACATACACACTCACACACACACACACACTAACCCGACCCATAAACCTACCCATCACTCACACACACACACACACACACACACACACACCAATCCGACCCATAAACCTACCCATCACTCACACACACACACACACACACACCAATCCGACCCCTAAACCTACCCATCACACACACACACACATACACACTCACACACACTAACCCGACCCATAAACCTACCCATCACTCACACACACACACACACACACACACACCAATCCGACCCCTAAACCTACCCATCACAGGAAACTTTATAAATTTTTACATATTTAATAAAACACTGTTTAGTACGTTTTTAAAGCCATCGTATACGAGTCCTCGTATTTCAAAAACACACTCTCCTCTCAAACACACACACGCACACATCTGTCTGATCTGCACCACACGGGTCAAAGGTCACCGTGCAGGACACCTGATGACAGCCTGAACTGCATCCGTCACACTCGGGGATTCATATCCACAAAACACACGCAGGTCGCCGCGGCAACGGGCTCAGAACCGGACATCCCGTCGTGGGAAGAAACCGGGATAACTGGGGATTTAATCGTTATCCCATCAAACCTCTGCTCACCTGGACAGATGTTCACTGTTCCCCGATCTGAGGTCATGTGACGTATGATATCATCCACCCGAATCTCAGTCAGCGAGAGGAACAAGTGGAAGAGCGACACGAGCTCGATCTACGACCCGGTGAGACTCACACCATCTCTCATCACTCCTGCGATCAAACCCACGAACACGAGTGTGTGAGCGAGAACACGTGCAGGAACTGAGGAAACACAGATCGCTCGTTCACTTCCTCCACAGGCGCTCTCAAATCAAACCAGAAGACACGCTTCCGGCAGAAACACACACTGAGACACACACACACACACACACACACTGACGTCTGAGTAAATGAACTTAAACCTTGTAAAATCAATCTATCATATTTCTAATGTTGAGTCATCTTTATTCCAGAACCAGGATTGCCGCGGCCTGTGTACGAGGGAACACAAGAGTGATTTATAGACCTGGAAAAGTCATGGAATTAATCAAATATTCAAAAGTCATTGGTATTTCTATATTAAACATAGGCCTACATTTTTTTTCTAGTTGTGTAAAGCTCTTAAATATTTAATCAGGGAGATACTTGTGAGTAAAAAAATAAGTAAATTTAGTTTAAAAAAATATATAATTATGACCTTCTGGAAAACTCAGTTCTTGAAACTTAATTATTTCATTGAATCATTTTAATTAAATGTTAATTATATTCATAATAAGATATTTATCTAAATATTTAAATTTAATTAGTGACATATTTTCTTCCATATTGTGAAGTACATCCCAGTATAACGAAAAAATAATAAAAATAAAAATAAAATATATTATACATATATATTCACACACACAGACACACATTTGCATATATATATATATATATTAGTGCTGTCAAACGATTAAAATATTTAATCGCGATTAATCGCATTAAGTTAACTCGCGATTAATCACACATTGTTATCTATTCTAAATGTCTCTTGATTTCTTTTTGTCCCATTATTTTTTCTCATTTTAATGCTCTTATCAACATGGAAAAGTGGATCGGCTTGCTTTGTGCAAATGTTTTTTATTGAAACCAACACTGGCATATACTGTGTTCAATTTCACACTAACATTCTCACTTGGAGCAAATAATCTCTCACACAATGTAACACTGTCCATCAATAAAAGGGTGAAAGAAATACTGACGAGGTCCTGATATTGACGAGGGGGCGGAGAATTCGCATCAGCTGTGTGTGTGTGTGTGTGTGTGTGTGTGTGTGCTTGGCCATCATCAAGTGGTGTTTCAGACTGGACGTGCTGCGATGATGATAGCTCAGTTCACAACAACAAAACACACAGATCACTTTGGTCTCGTCAATGGGACCGTTTGGCAACTTTTTCAAAGTAAACTTTCCATTCAGAATCTTATTGGCATCCATTTCTCGTCATCCACTCAAAACGTAACGTTAACCTACTATTTGGCCGGCTCGTAAGCCCAAACGAGTGTGTGCGGCGTGCCTGTTGTTTTGTTTCCGGTCTAGCTAGATCCGCTTGCGCTTTGGTCGACGAAGCAACAAAACGTCCTCGCGCGGCGCAAGCCATTGAAATGAACGGGTTTCATCATAGCGCCGCGCCCTGTTGCAAAAAGCATGTGAAAAAAACTACAAAGTTTGCTAGCCCAAAAAGACCGTTAATCGCACAATAAAAAAAATTAACGCCGTTAAAATGGGTTTGCGTTAACGCCGTTAATAACGCGTTTAACTGACAGCCCTAATAAATATATATAAATTAGCGGTGTAACGGTACATGTATTCACGGTTGGGTTCATGCAGTCAGAAGATGAATACAGTCGTTCACAGACGATACACACTCCAGTCCAGAAGGGGGCGCACGGTAATGCAATGCTGTTTGCTAACCACTACAACAAAAGTAGTACCCTCACTCACACCCTCACTCACACCCTCACCCTCACCCATACCCTCATCCATACCCTCATCCATACTCTCACCCTCACCCATACCCACACCCACACCCTGACCCTCACTCACACCCTCACCCTCACCCACACCCTCACCCTCACCCACACCCTCACCCTCACCCTCACCCACACCCTCACCCTCACCCTCACCCACACCCTCACCCTCACCCACACCCTCACCCTCACCCTCACCCACACCCTCATCCATACTCTCACCCTCACCCACTCACCCATACCCACACCCATACAGTGTCACCCATCTTTTTCCACTACAGTAAAAGACCTGGGTGTTATACTAGACCGCAACTTGTCTTTCGAAAATCATATTTCATCTGTTACAAGAACAGCCTTTTTCCACCTTAGAAACATTGCTAAGCTACGTAACATGCTATCTGTTTCTGATGCAGAAAAGTTAGTTCATGCATTCATGACCTCGAGACTAGATTACTGTAATGCTTTATTAGCTGGTTGTCCTGCATCCTCAATAAACAAGCTACAGTTAGTGCAAAATGCAGCCGCTAGAGTTCTTACTAGGTCAAGAAAATATGATCATATAACACCGATTTTATCATCTCTGCACTGGTTACCTATTAAGTTCCGTATCAATTACAAAGTACTACTACTGACCTATAAAGACCTTAATGGTTTAGCTCCTATGTACTTAACGGACCTTCTTTCGCCCTACAATCCACCGCGTTCTCTAAGATCACTAAATTCAAGGCTTCTGGTCATTCCTAGGATATCGAAGTCCACGAAAGGAGGGAGGGCATTCTCGCATTTAGCTCCAAAACTCTGGAATAGCCTTCCCGATACGGTCCGATGCTCTGACTCGCTGACACAGTTTAAAACTAGACTAAAGACGTGTCTCTTTAGTCAAGCATTCACATAATGCTTACCTTTTAGTCCTCTGCTATGCCATACGGAACCGTTTGCCACTGAAACTGCTTAACGCACCAGTGGGGCTCGACAGCCTTATAGACAAACGGGTCGGTCCGTATGGTTGCGGTTGGGTTGCGGAGAGTTTGGGTTGCGGAGAGTTGTGAGATTATGGTTTTCTAACACCTACTCCCGTGTAATGGAAATCATTATGAACATCAGCTATGCTAATTATTTCCCATCTGCCTTTCTGCTGTTATCTCGGGACGCTTGTCCCGAGAAAAATGGCGTTCGTAGGCTCCAGTTTGGTATCCTGCCTCTCACGGGGATTTCGGATGCCTCAACGCCTGTGATGAGAAGACCAACGCCTGTGAAGAGACGACTCAACGCCTGCGAAGAGACGACTCAACGCCGGCGATATGTTATCCCCTAAATATTACATGATTAACTAAATGTATTTTTTCCAGGTACTCTCTGATATGGACTTACTGTAAAGCTTCTTTAAAACCCTATGATTGTTAGCCAGAGGAGAACTGGCCCCTGACTAGCCTGGGTTCTCCCAAGGTTTTTTTCTCCATCCAATCTGATGGAGTTTTGGTTCCTTGCCACTGTCGCCTTGCTTTTGGCTTGCTTAGTTGGGGATATTTAATATTCAACAATATTATTGAACTGTGTTGTACTACTTTCATGTTATCACTGTGAAGCTGCTTTGATGCAATCTGTATTGTGAAAAGCGCTATATAAATAAATGTGACTTGACTTGACTTGACACCCACACCCACACCCTCACCCACACCCTCACCCACACCCACACCCTCATCCATACTCTCACCCTCACCCATACCCACACCCTCATCCATACTCTCACCCTCACCCATACCCACACCCACACCCTGACCCTCACTCACACCCTCACCCTCACCCTCACCCACACCCTCACCCACACCCTCACCCACACCCTCACCCTCACTCACACCCTCACCCACACCCTCACCCACACCCACACCCATACCCTGACCCTCACTCACACCCTCACCCACACCCTCATCCATACTCTCACCCTCACCCATACCCACACCCACACCCTGACCCTCACTCACACCCTCACCCTCACCCACACCCACACCCTCACCCACACCCTCATCCATACTCTCACCCTCACCCATACCCACACCCTCACCCTCACCCTCACTCACACCCTCACCCACACCCTCACCCACACCCTCACCCTCACCCTCACTCACACCCTCATCCATACTCTCACCCACACCCTCACTCACACCCTCACCCACACCCTCACCCACACCCACACCCATACCCTGACCCTCACTCACACCCTCACCCTCACTCACACCCACACCCACACCCTCACCCACACCCTCACTCACACCCTCACCCACACCCTCACCCACACCCACACCCATACCCTGACCCTCACTCACACCCTCACCCTCACCCACACCCTCATCCATACTCTCACCCTCACCCATACCCACACCCACACCCTGACCCTCACTCACACCCTCACCCTCACCCACACCCATACCCACACCCTCATCCATACTCTCATCCTCACCCATACCCACACCCACACCCTGACCCTCACTCACACCCTCACCCTCATCCATACTCTCACCCTCACCCATACCCACACCCACACCCTCACCCTCACCCTCACTCACACCCTCACCCACACCCTCACCCACACCCATACCCTGACCCTCACTCACACCCTCACCCTCACCCACACCCTCACCCATACCCACACCCACACCCTGACCCTCACTCACACCCTCACCCACACCCATACCCCCACCCTCATCCATACTCTCACCCTCACCCATACCCTCATCCATACTCTCACCCTCACCCATACCCTCATCCATACTCTCACCCTCACCCATACCCATACCCTCATCCATACTCTCACCCTCATCCATACTCTCACCCACACCCTCTCCCATACTCTCACCCACACCCATACCCTCATCCATACCCTCACCCATACTCTCACCCACACCCTCATCCATACCCCCACCCTCATCCATACTCTCACCCTCACCTAGGGGTGTGACGGTTATTATATAACCGTGAGACCGACGGTTATAGTTGAACACCGTCATTAGAACTCTATAACCGCCAAAACCGTGCTATTAAAATATTTTTTACAAACATTTTTTATCATAGAGAATGTTTAAATACTAATATCAGCTTAAGAGGGAAACGGAGGCTGCTACTGCTGGAGATGATTCGGGAGAGGTCTGTGCCCCTTTACCGATCAGAGCGCGCGCTGACACGGAGTAAAGCCTTGTTTATACCTTTATACTCGACGCGTCCGCACGATCGCGAAGGTGCGCGCGGCGAAAATGACGCGTTCGGTGCACAAGACCCCATTTGGCTTGGCTGTGTGCACGGCTTTTTTTTGTAACAGCGCGCGCGGCGCCGCGTCCGAGGATGACCGACTTCAAGCCGAATCTGCCCGAGCATGCACGTCTCACCGCACCGGCACGCAGTTTGCGCGCCTAAATTGCAAAGTTCATTCCAAAGTTTTTTCGTTAAGGTTTTGTTTACTGTGTGTGATTTATTAAAAAAAAGCACGTTCATTGCAACGTTTGTTTGTTTTGTTAGTTAAAGATTTGTTTACTGTGTGATGCATTTAATGGAAAGCACATTCACTTCTAGTTGTCTTGCTGTTCATGTTAAATAAACGTAGAGCTAGTAGCTAATCCGACGACGGTTATGTTACGAACCGTCACATTTGACTCACGTCATAACCGTCATCACCAATTCTGAAACCGGCACACCCCTACCCTCACCCATACCCACACCCACACCCTCACTCACACCCTCACCCATACCCTCACCCATACCCACACCCACACCCTGACCCTCACTCACACCCTCACCCACACCCTCACCCACACCCTCATCCATACCCCCACCCTCATCCATACTCTCACCCTCACCCATACCCTCATCCATACCCCCACCCTCATCCATACTCTCACCCATACCCTCATCCATACCCCCACCCTCATCCATACTCTCACCCTCACCCATACCCTCATCCATACCCCCACCCTCACCCATACTCTCACCCACACCCATACCCTCATCCATACTCTCACCCTCACCCATACCCTCACCCATACCCTCATCCATACCCCCACCCTCACCCATACTCTCACCCTCACCCATACCCTCATTAGGGATGCACCGATTGGGAAATTCTGGGCCGATACCGATACCGATGTTTAACATAACAACTTAGCCGATGGCCGATGCCGATGTTTTTTCTTTTTGTTATTTATTCCTTCTTTTATGCCACGGAAACATACAAGTCTTTCGGCTCTTGATCACACTATCCTAGAATGAGCACAAATTCAATCAGACCAATTTCTGAAACAAAAACAACCTTTAATGTCACTTTCTGGTTGACATTATAACCTTATTTATGACAAGTACTTTTCTGAAAAATAACATTCAAAAACCTTTGACTGCTAACTCTAATCAATGAAAAAATTTGTTTCAGTACATTGCCCAACAAAATTATTTGAGTGGTTTTAGCCTGATAAACAAAAACTTACTCAATGAGATTATTTTCATGGCCCAATAAAAAATATTTTTCTGATAAATAAAAAAAAAAACATCAAGTGTAAATGCAAAAACAAGTGAAATAAATAAATTATGTTATTCAAATAAATAAATTATGTTATTCATAAATACAAACATAAATAGGGCTATCTTTCACCTTGTGTATTTCTCATACAGAATAAAACATAACAGTGTTTCAGAACTCACAGGCTGGAACATGGGGCATCTTATAAAACAAAAACAGTACCTCCACTTCTGATCATTAATGACATAAGTCACCTGCTGTATCTCTGGCCTACTTCTTAATAAGATGCATGTTTTTCTTTACAAAGATAAGCATCTCTGCCTTGTCACAGCAAAGCCTATTTCTCTTTTCATCCAAGACATGAGACACAGAGCTGAATAACCGCTCACTCTCTGTGCTGGTGCATGGCGCACTAAGGTATTTGCGTGCCATTTGTGCGAGTTCTGGAAAACGCAGGTGGTTATTTCTCCAATAAAAGGCTGGTCATCTAAAGCGATGAACTCCATCACCTTGTTTGTTATTTGTTTCGCTTTGGCGCTGTCGGAAGGCAGCTGTTTGGCTTTCTCAAACGCCGTGTCAATTGCAGTCTGAGTCTTACCGGGGGTTTGCGCTTTCTTGGCGGCTTCATTTTTCCGTTGTTGGTCAGCTTGCAGGTAATCGCCGTACATCTTCTTTGTTTAATCTAAGTTACTGAGGACGGAGAGTGCGCGGGCGCCCTCTTCCGTCTCGGTATCTCCCCGCGCCCAAATAAAAAGAGGGAAAAAGTTTCTCCTGAGCACAGCGTTCATGACACATAATAATCATCGGCGAATGTCATTTTTATTTCCCGATGGCCGATGGCAGTTAATGAGGCAAATATCGGCCGTTACCGATGTTCAGCCGATGCATCGGTGCATCCCTAACCCTCATCCATACTCATACCCTCACCCATACTCTCACCCTCACCCATACCCTCATCCATACTCTCACCCTCACCCTCACCCTCACCCACACCCTCACCCATACTCTCACCCTCACCCCCACCCTCACCCACACCCTCATCCATACTCATACCCTCACCCATACCCTCATCCATACTCTCACCCTCACCCTCACCCTCACCCACACCCTCACCCATACTCTCACCCTCACCCCCACCCTCACCCATACCCTCATCCATACTCTCACCCTCACCCCCACCCTCACCCACACCCTCACCCATACCCTCATCCATACTCTCACCCACACCCATACCCTCATCCATACCCCCACCCTCACCCATACTCTCATCCATACTCACACCCTCACCCATACCCTCATCCATACTCACACCCTCACCCATACCCTCATCCATACTCACACCCTCATCCATACTCATACCCTCACCCATACCCTCATCCATACTCATACCCTCACCCATACTCTCACCCTCACCCATACCCTCATCCATACTCATACCCTCACCCATACCCTCATCCATACTCACACCCTCACCCATACCCTCATCCATACTCACACCCTCATCCATACTCATACCCTCACCCATACTCTCACCCTCACCCATACCCTCATCCATACTCATACCCTCACCCATACCCTCATCCATACTCACACCCTCACCCATACCCTCATCCATACTCACACCCTCACCCATACCCTCATCCATACTCACACCCTCATCCATACTCTCACCCATACCCTCACTCATACCCTCATCCATACTCATACCCTCATCCATACTCATACCCTCACCCATACTCTCATCCATACTAATACCCTCACCCATACCCTCATCCATACTCACACCCTCACCCATACCCTCATCCATACCGTCATCCATACTCATACCCTCATCCATACTCATACCCATACCCTCATCCATACTCACACCCATACCCTCATCCATACTCACACCCATACCCTCATCCATACTCACACCCTCATCCTCACCCACACCCATACCCACTCTCACCCATATCCTCATCCATACCCACACCTTCATCCATTCTCACACCCATACTCTCATCCATACTCACACCCATATCCTCATCCATACTCACACCCATACCCTCATCCTTACTCACACCCATACCCTCATCCATACTCACACCCTCATCCTCACCCACACCCATACCCACACTCACCCATACTCTCACCCATACCCTCACCCATATCCTCATCCATACCCACACCTTCATCCATACTCACACCCATACTCTCATCCATACTCACACCCATATCCTCATCCATACTCACACCCATACCCTCATCCTTACTCACACCCATACCCTCATCCATACTCACACCCTCACCCATACCCTCATCCATACTCACACCCTCATCCATACTCTCACCCATACCCTCACTCATACCCTCATCCATACTCATACCCTCATCCATACTCATACCCTCATCCATACTCATACCCTCATCCATACTCATACCCTCATCCATACTCATACCCTCATCCATACTCATACCCTCATCCATACTCATACCCTCATCCATACTCATACCCTCACCCATACTCTCACCCTCTCCCATACCCTGATCCATACTAATACCCTCACCCATACCCTCATCCATACTCACACCCTCACCCATACCCTCATCCATACCGTCATCCATACTCATACCCTCATCCATACCCATACCCTCATCCATACTCACACCCATACCCTCATCCATACTCACACCCTCATCCTCACCCACACCCATACCCACACTCACCCATACTCTCACCCATACCCTCACCCATATCCTCATCCATACCCACACCTTCATCCATACTCACACCCATATCCTCATCCATACTCACACCTTCATCCATACTCACACCTTCATCCATACTCACACCCTCATCCTCACCCACACCCATACTCTCATCCATACTCACACCCATATCCTCATCCATACTCACACCCATACCCTCATCCTTACTCACACCCATACCCTCATCCATACTCACACCCTCACCCATACCCTCATCCATACTCACACCCTCATCCATACTCTCACCCATACCCTCACTCATACCCTCATCCATACTCATACCCTCATCCATACTCATACCCTCATCCATACTCATACCCTCATCCATACTCATACCCTCACCCATACTCTCACCCTCTCCCATACCCTGATCCATACTAATACCCTCACCCATACCCTCATCCATACTCACACCCTCACCCATACCCTCATCCATACCGTCATCCATACTCATACCCTCATCCATACTCATACCCTCATCCATACTCACACCCATACCCTCATCCATACTCACACCCTCATCCTCACCCACACCCACACTCACCCATACTCTCACCCATACCCTCACCCATATCCTCATCCATACCCACACCTTCATCCATACTCACACCCATATCCTCATCCATACTCACACCTTCATCCATACTCACACCTTCATCCATACTCACACCCATACTCTCATCCATACTCACACCCATATCCTCATCCATACTCACACCCATACCCTCATCCTTACTCACACCCATACCCTCATCCATACTCACACCCTCATCCTCACCCACACCCATACCCACACTCACCCATACTCAGACCCATACCCTCATCCTTACTCACACCCATACCCTCATCCTTACTCACACCCATACCCTCATCCATACTCACACCCTCATCCTCACCCACACCCATACCCACACTCACCCATACTCACACCCATACCCTCACCCATACTCAGACCCATACCCTCATCCATACTCACACCCATACCCTCATCCATACTCAGACCCATACCCTCATCCATACTCAGACCCATACCCTCATCCATACTCACACCCATACCCTCATCCTTACTCACACCCATACCCTCATCCATACTCACACCCTCATCCTCACCCACACCCATACCCACACTCACCCATACTCAGACCCATACCCTCATCCTTACTCACACCCATACCCTCATCCTTACTCACACCCATACCCTCATCCATACTCACACCCTCATCCTCACCCACACCCATACCCACACTCACCCATACTCACACCCATACCCTCACCCATACTCAGACCCATACCCTCATCCATACTCACACCCATACCCTCATCCATACTCAGACCCATACCCTCATCCATACTCAGACCCATACCCTCATCCATACTCACACCCATACCCTCATCCATACTCACACCCATACCCTCATCCATACTCACACCCATACCCTCATCCATACTCACACCCATACCCTCATCCATACTCACACCCATACCCTCATCCATACTCACACCCATACCCTCATCCATACTCACACCCATACCCTCATCCATACCAAAGTCCTTTTAGGCAAGTCATGCCACTCGGCCGCCATCTTGGCAACGCCTCCGGGCAGCTATTTCGGACTAACAAGACCAGGCTCCTATCTAAATGAATGGGCAGAGACCCAGAACTGCACTTTCACTGGTCACCGGGACATAAAAACTGCATGTATACAAACACTAATAAAATATGATAAAAATCGCTGAAAAAGTTTGATGACTTTGCCCCAAAATAAGGTTTAAAACGCCTTTTTCCCCACAGGTTATACTTTTACTGCGCATGCGCAAGGGTTCTCTCGCTCTCTGTCGTGCGCGCGCTACTGCTCGCTCGCTCTAGATTCCGGGAGATTTGAACTAATTTGCGGTCATCAGGGAGCCGCTATCAATCTGCGGGAGACTCCCGGAACTTCCGGGAGACTTGGGATGTCATCAAATCTGCCGCCTTTTCAAACAGTAACATATTTTCCGCTGTCGCAAACCTCAACTGTGCGCATGCGTCGGTGGAACCAGACGATAGGCTTAAATGTTTTCCGGCTTGACTGTTAAAAGCAGACGATTGGCTTTCCAGCGGGAGGGGCGGGGCATGTGCATACAACCGCCATCTTTGGCGTTACGGGTTTTCCCTATATAGTTGTATTAAGGATTGGGGAAGTGGCATGTCTCTATATAAATAGTCTCTGCCCATACTCACCCACATCCTCACCCTCACCCTCACCTATACTCACACCCACACCCTCACCCATACTCACACCCATACTCACACACATACCCTCCCGTGAGAGTGTGGATATGGGGGAGGGTATGGGTGAGGGTGAGAGTATGGGTGAGAGTGTGCACACTCACACTCACTGTATACCCAACAGCAGCATCTATAATCTCCTGGGAAATAGCAGCATGTGTAGAAACACACATACACACACACACACACACACTGAAGTACAGCAGCAGTGAATCCATCCACAGATCAACTCTCTAACACACACACACACACACACACTGAAGTACAGCAACAGTGAATCCATCCACAGATCGCTGACGCAGGACAGAGGAACACACACACACACACACACTGCGGCAGGGCGATAGAGCATTGATCTAGACCCATGTGTAGTTTGTCATTGAGTATTATGAGCATCTGTTATTCCAAACCCAATCTGAGGCCGTGTCACAGGAAGACCTGAATTAAACAGCATCAGTCAGATGAACACACCAGGTCACCGACTGACCCACGACCTCAGGTGTCTTCACTAGAAAACTCCACTTCCTGTTTCAGCAGTGATGCGTTTCCTGTCAGCGCTGCATTTAGCTCTTTCTAAGCACTTTCAACATCCACTTCCTCAAACGCCTGAGCTGCACAACGCAAGAGTTTCCCTCGGCCTCACATCCGCTCATCTGCAGCTGCACACACACACACACACACACACACACACACACACACCTGTGTTATTAATACAGTCACTCTATAAACACCTCAGATCACGGCTAAACATCATCACCATCACACAGTTACTCGCGGACACTGGAAACATCCTGCATTTATTAAACTATTTTAAAAAAAAACTTCCAGTGAATTTTCTTGAACTCAATGTTATGGAAGTAAATCAGTGATACATGTCTTGTGAAACTGCATTATATTTTCAGCGCTTGCATTTCTGGGGTGAAATTCAACATTGGCTGGTGTGTTTAAAGCTAATATGTACTTAGTTTCGCCGCTAGCGGGCGCTAAGCTCTTACAGTAACTCAGGCGTAGGTTGATGACGCAGTGAATAAGCGGAATCATGGAACCTGTCGTCAAGCTGATGGATATAACAATGTTTATGGATGAGTGGAAACATTAATGTTCTTTAACAGATCTCAGATCTCAGCGTCCCGCGGATATAAAGGAACTCTAAACATTAGAGCATAGAGAAATGCTAAACATTACGCAGTTGTAGACGTCTGTCGCCATGGTTACTATGGGAGTACTAGCGTGAACCAGGGATAGCGCGGATGCGGCGAGTGGCGTGACTCCTGATGCGCGACGCACCGCTCTCGGATCGCTCACGGAGGAGCGGAAGCTAAAGGAGGAGCGACGGCAGTGAAGGAGGAGAGAGGGCCAGGCCTGGACGTGTGTGTGTGTGTGGTTATACGGGACAGCAGTCGCTGTCTTTACTCTCAGTTTGTATTTCTTTATTTTACGTTTATTAAAGTTTTCGAATGTTCGCCGGTTCCCGCCTCCTCCTCCACACAACATCTAGCCTCGCTACAGCGGATATCACGTCATTAGCGGGCGACGCGCGAACAGGGAAGGGCACTAGTTACAATTGTGAATTTTTCTGGTTTTACAAATTCTTGGCTTTTGGGATATTTTGATACAAAATTCTTACATATTGTACCTTTAAACTGTGAATAGTTAAAATGGCAATATTTTACACTGAAAATTCAATAATTTATATAGTCAAAATAAAAAAATGTATAACACTAGACAAGAGCATCACTGTGATCATGATCATCTTGTTTTCATAATCGTCGGAAGACAAAATCATATAAAACACCAGCTCTAGTGTGTTATTGATGATTATTGCTGTGTTTAATTCCTCTGATCTGAGGTCAGGGGTCAGAGGTCAGGGGTCAGGGGCCAGAACAGAACTCATGTTTGGTACCAGAGTTCTGACCACAGTAACAACAGAGAAGAAGAAAACACCGCGGTGTGCATATGAGCTTTAACAGCTGAATCTGTGCAGAGATACAGTCACAACTAATCAACAGATCCGACACACACTACAGACTTACACACAACTGACTAAAGGTTTCATGCCAGTTCTACATAATATGAATACTCTCTCTCTCACACACACACACACTCTCTCTCTCACACACACAGACACACACACAATCTCTCTCTCTCTCTCTCACACACACACACACACACACACACAATTTCTCTCTCTCTCTCTCTCTCTCTCTCACACACACAGACACACACACAATCTCTCTCTCTCTCTCACACACACACACACACACACTCTCTCTCTCTCACACACACACACACACACACTCTCTCTCTCTCACACACACACACACACACACTCTCTCTCTCTCCCCCTCTCACACACACACACACACTCTCTCTCTCTCTCCCCCTCACACACACACAGACACACACACACAATCTCTCTCTCTCTCTCTCTCTCCCTCTCACACACACACACTCTCTCTCTCAATTCAATTCAATTCAGAAAGCTTTATTTGCATGACAAAAAAATACATTTTGTATTGCCAAAGCATCAAAACAACATAAAAAAATGATTTAGAACATTTAGTACACAAAAATAATAATACTGATATCATAAAACAATAATAATAAAACAAACAAAGATTAATAAATAATATAAAAAGGATTTAGAAATCATTTATATAAAAAACAAAAACAAACAATATTGAACATTATATACATGTGTGTAGGTCTCTCTCTCTCACACACACACACTCTCTCTCTCACACTCACACACAATCTTTCTCTCTCTCTCCCCCCCTCACACACACACTCACAATCTTTCTCTCTCTCTCCCCCCCTCACACACACACACACTCACTCACTCTCTCTCTCTCTCTCTCTCTCTCTCTCTCTCTCTCTCTCTCTCTCTCTCTCTCTCTCTCTCTCTCTCTCTCTCTCTCTCTCTCTCTCTCTCTCTCTCTCTCTCTCTCTCTCTCTCTCTCTCTCTCTCTCTCTCTCTCTCTCTCTCTCTCTCTCTCTCTCTCTCTCTCTCTCTCCCCCTCACACACACACACACACACACATACACCTGTCCTGATCTCGTGAGGAATCCTCATCTATACATCACGCGCATCATTATTGTGTTGTTGTTATTAATGTCCGCGATACAGTGATCTGCGCTGCTGTCACACACGCGCGTCAGGTCCGGTCGGGTTCGGGACTGTCACACACACACACACACACACACACACACACACACACACACACACACACACACACACACACACACACACACACTCACCTCAGCGACAGCAGTGCGGCTCTCATCTCATCCTGAAGCTTCGGCTCACAGCGACTGACTCTCTCAGCTGTCCCTCGGGCCGGTCGGTACCGGTTCGGGTTCGAGTGTCACTGCGTGGATCGACCGTCTCCGCGCTCCGCCATCACGCAGAGAAATACACACACACACACACACACACACACACACCGAGCAGCTGCAGACGCGACGCGCGCACTGACGCCTGGCGGCGCGGAGACGCATTGCAGCAACTCATCACCGAGCGGGGAAGCTCCTGATCTACGCGTGAACGCGCGTGAAGCATAGCCGGTGTCACGTGACCCCTGTTGCTTTTCTCAGCGCTGCTCGAAATGCAACAATCATAGTAGCTAGTTTATGATTTCTTGACAAATTAATTGTATGCATCATATTCGTATGTCAGCTACAGATAGACTTACATCATTACAATTATACACGCTACAAATGCCCGAACTCGATACTATCATTTGAACAGCGATGTTAAAATATTCTGCTTGTGGGACACATTTCATATCCATAAATCCTGAGTGACAGCTACTAAATCAAACATTTGCTCATTTTGTTCTGAGATTAAAAAAAGAGGCTGATTCCTTACTTAAATTAGAGACAATAAACTTATTTTTAAACATAATTCAACTGTTATGGAAGTAAATTGCTGATAAATGTTGTGTTAATTTACATTAGTTGAACAAAAATGCATTATATTTTCAGTACTTGCATTTTGGGGGCTAAAATTAAACATGTATTTGTATATTTAAGTGAATTATGGAAGCTCGTTTCCGCCACAGAATAAAGAATAAAAAAGGTAATTGACTATCTCACAATTGTGACTTTTTTTCTCAGAATTTCATGTTTATATCTCGCAATTCTGACTTTATAACACGCAATTGTGAGATAAAAAGTCGCAATTATCTTTTAAAATGTTTTAATCTGTGGCGGAAACAAGCTTCCACAGTGAATAACACAATAATGGAAAATTTTCACATACAATTACATTATTAAAAATTCAATATTTTATAAACATCCGATTACCAAGCCCGTTATGGTTGGAGTTAATGATTGATAATGAATAAACTATTTTAGGGAAGATGAGGAAAACATTTGTTATTATTATTTTGTGTGTGTGTGTGTGTGTGTGTGTCGTCCCTCATCATGCTGATATTATGGTGAAAGAAAACACATATTTCCCCAAGGATGAAATGACGTCACCGAGTCACACATATATTCATTTAAATTCTTTATTTTCTGTAAAATACGGTGAGGATACAGTCTTAAAAATGTTCCGTTAGAAGCACCTACGCGTACAGCTTATGTACAACATACAGTTTCCCTGGTTATCAAAACAACAAAAAGAAATTAAGAGCAACAATTGCAAAAAAAAAAAGTACATCTTAAAATAGAATGCAAATATTTTGTTTCTGTTGATATTCGCCCGACAGAAGCCGGACTCGTGGAGCTCGAAGAACAGGAGAGTCTGCTGGTACCAGGACAGAGGAATGCTTTAAACAGCCTCTCTGCTCACCGAGGCTGGGGTTATTCCATTAAAGAAAACTAATATTGTTAAATATTATGACAATTTAAAAGAACTGTTTTCAATGTGAATATACAGTAAAGTGAAATTTATTCCTGTGCATTTTCAGCATCATTACTCCAGTCTTCAGCGTCACATGACCCTTC